AGACATTTTACCTTTTGTATGACTATATATGCCACTCTCCTCAATGGTTTACCTTTTATCTTTCAGCAGTTTTACCTTTTATCCTTTTAGCTTTTTATCCTTTTTTATCCTTTATTTTTACCTCTTGTATGGCTGTGTAGTACATGCCTGTCTATGAAGTTATGTATTCAATATTGTATGGCTCGATGCCGTAATAATAAAATGTATGTATGTATGTATGTATCTTAAAAATAAATGTACTTTAAAACAGTTGTTGCTATCAATATTGTGACATTTACAGTTAACTTTTTAGAGCTGGTGTTATGCAACAGTAGATGGAATTATTACTTTTAAAACAAAATTCTTGAATGCTACAGGCTACTAGACTGGGGTATATAGTATATCTAAACAACGATTCCCCACACCATTGTAATTATAAAAGGCAAAGAGTCATAGTTACACTACAGAAGGATTAAAGTTGTTTCTCACAGAGCTGTATAATATGACTTATATCATCATTAGTTCAAGGAAAGAGAGAATTAATCATGTGTAAATTTTGTAGCTAAGATAACTAATCTTTGAGGCACCTTTTAAAAAAAAAGTACAGTGGAACCTTGACCTACGAACGTCCCTACCTATGAACATTTCGACTTACGAACTGCTCCATTTGCAAAATTTTGCTTCGACTTGTGAATGGAGCTTTGACTTACGAATGCAAAAAAGTGTTCTGTTTAAAAGGTGTTCCCTCCCCCTCCCTCCTTTCGTGCCCTTTTTTTGACCTAAATTCATCTTAGTCAAAAGAAGAAAAAATTAAAATAAATCTCCCCCTAGTGGTAGAGTACAGATTAACCGGCTTTGCATTAGTTCCTATGGGAACTAATGCCTCTACTTGCGAATGGCGCCTCTAGATAAGAACAAAAAACAGCCAGAACTGATTAAATGGTTTTCAATGCATTCCTATGGGAAATTTTGCTTTGACTTATGAATGTTTTGATGTACGAACACCATTCCAATACAGATTAAGTTCATAAATCGAGGTTCTACTGTACTGGTATACTGTAGCTCAGTGGATTAGAGAACATGGCTGAGAGTTCGAATTTTCCTGGAAAAGGGGCCACTCACATATGCCCAGGTCATGCGTGGCTGGTGGTGTTATATGTCCCATTACCTTTGCAGCCTTGCACAAACTACACTGCTGCAGAATGCTACTGGAAGGATGGATTGGCAAACCTTATGAGTGCTTCATAAAAAGAAAGGGTGCCGTAAGTATGAACCATCTTCATGGTGTACAGTTTCAAAAGACAACCATGTTTTGTTGGCTGCAAGCTTTTACAAGCTGTGCATGATGCAGGTGGGTTGCAATCAACACAAATCTATGTCTAATACACGTTTGTGAGTCTCCAGGGTGCCAGAAGACTCATAACACCTTACAGTGTTGTAATGAGCAATATCGTTAGGGAATGTGCATGCAATTGTTATGGTTATTCCTTTGGGGGATTAATTTTGAAAAACACTTTTGTAAAAGACTTTAGCGAGAAGCAGCTGTTTATACACATTGTGCCATGGTGGGCATTAAAGCCCATAAGGAAACTAGACAAGAATTTTATTATCTGTAACGAGAAAAGCAACAGGAAACTCGACCCAGCACCCAGCTACAACTGGACCCAGTGCCACTGACAGGCTAAATATGATGATAGAATCCACTCAATAAGAAAATAAGAAATAGGGAACTATAGAAGAAAATAAGAAATAGGGAACTATAACAAATAAAGCAGGCCAGGAATGTAAAGTTGTTTGCATGTTTAACATAACAACAACACGCTGTCAAATGGATTCTGATTTAGGTCTTTCTAGGCATTAAGTATTTAGAAGCTGCTTCCCAATCACTCCTTCTGGAGGTGCTCTGGGACAGTGCAGCTTGCCCAAGGCCACACAGGTGGCAGAGGACACAAGCCTGGCTGTCTCTTGGAGGCACAGGGAGAATTCGAATTCCTGGCCTCTGCCTCTCTGCTGAAAAGCACACTAGGGACAACAGAATTGTACAGTGCTCCATACACATATTACTCCCAAAAGCCAGCAAAGTCTGAATCCACACTGACATTGGTGGTGAGTCTCAACCATAAGATGCTAGCATAAGCTTGGAAATATCTCACAAGAAAGGCTACCTGCCTGCTTTTCAAAGGGGTTACCACCTTTTTTTGGGGTCAATGTGCCATGGTCAGCGGGCATATCAGCAATGGACCAAGTGTACACCAAGGTAGTGGGAGAAGAGCATGTATAAGCATGTATAAGCATGCATCATCCTATTATGTGTGCAGATTCTAGCAGGTGCAAACTCTTTGGTAATCCCCACAGCTTCTTCATCCAGAGAAACAGGTACTGGTGTGGTCTTCTCCTATAATAGTGTGCCCTGCTGCTCATCTTGTTTATTTAGTCAGTTAGTTATGCTTATACCCAGACTCCCCCCCCCCAATGAGATTGAAGCAGCACATATGGCTCTCTGGCTTTATCCTCATAACCCCCTTGGGGGGGGGGTTAGGTCCGGATGAGCCTGAGAGTGTGTGACTGGCCCAAGGTCACCCAGTGAGTTTCCTCATTCAGTTGGTGACTTGAACCTGAATTTCCCAAGTTCCAGGTCAACACGTGAAGCCCCTTCACCCCTGGCTCTCTGGTGTTGACTGTTTTCCTAGATTAAAGTAAACCCTTGTAGGGAAAAGTATGATCTGTTAATCAGCATGGCGGCTCCAGATCAAAACCACAGCAACAGCCAGGCAGAATTTTCACAGAAGACGAAAAGTAGCATGAAGTGGAAAGCAACTGGCGGAGCCTAGACTCTATCTAGCTGCTCCGCTGGGACACCCAGCCCTTCTATGTCTTTATCTGGGAATGCAAGTGTGTGAACAGAGGCACACCCTTTTTTTTCGAAGTCCTCGGTATTTTAAATGCCTCACATCCAAGAAATTGTTAACATTCAGACTGCCCCCTAAAGTCTTGCGGACTCCCTCCAAATTCTCTAGCAATAGTTGGACATAAGGCTTCGGAAAAAGGACATAAAGATGGTGGTTGAGTCCCTTGCTTGTGTTCAGCATCTGAGAGTCAGGAGTATCCTGCTTTTAGGTGCAAGAGGTTTGACTGATGTGATATGGCTACTAACCCCTGGCTGATCAAGCCATCCCCCTGTACATAGAACCTTTCTGTTCATGACATTTAGATCCAGGAACAGCCTGTCTGCACTGTTGCTTTCCACCAGCAAAAACAACCAGCTGATCAAGTTTTCTTTGGCACATGTTTTCATGGAGTCTAGCCTGGGGTTAAGTGTCTTGCTGATGCCTTCTCCCACAAGCTGCCGTAAACTACACAAAGATCTGTAGCAATTTTTCCCCCTCAAAAGGCACAGTCATTTCTTCCTCGGCTTTCGTCACAAAGAATTTCGTATCCAAAGCACAGTCATTCTTTTCAGCACCATTTTGAAGACCACAGAACAACTGGGTGGGATTCAAAGGATCACCTGTCAGCCAACTTGTACATTAAATATATTTTCAGGCAATTTTGTCACTGTGTTATATCTTATTGTGTCCATGACCTTAAGGAATAATAATGCGTACATCTACTTTTCAGATAGTTTTCAGCTTAGAATGCCAAAATAATTTTTTTTACCAAATGGTTCTACTGCTAATTAGCTCTGTTGTTTCAACTTCTATAGCCTTTGCCTTTATTTGATCATTTATAATGTTCTTGCCTTTAAACATCCCTGTCTTAAGTGACTATGGTTTTTATATTTATTGGGTATTTTCCTGTTAGCTGTGCTGCAAGATTGCTTCTATAAGGAAGTCTACAAAGTGAAATAGAAAAAAAAAGAATATGGATTTATTTCAAATTATTAAATTATATCTTTGTAAAAAATATTCTTAATCCCAATGTAGTCTCCAAAATCTGTGAGAGGCTATTTGTCATGATAGATATACGAAGCCTGCAGATTCCAGTGGCACTAATGCCTCCATACATACTTGATAATTTGGTACTTTAGGGACAAACAATGCTTATGAGATGTAAAATTTTTGTGGAGTGCAGACCACTTCATCAACTTCAGGCTTCTGATTAAAAACAACAGAGAGTCTGGTGGCGCCCTACAGACTCTCAGATTTTATTTGGCAAACCATTTTACTGACTTCTTAAGTTGAGTGAAACTTTTTAATCTTTAAGGTTTCACTGAGTCTTCATTCTTTTTGCTGCAACAGAGTAACATGACTACTTTTCTATAAATACCAGCTGCTTGGAGGAAAGCGCTGTTTGTGTCCTGCTTGTAGGCTTGCTAAGGTCAATGCATTAGCCAGAAGGGCTAGATCATTGTTCTGATCCTATGGCTATCTTCTTAAATTTTGTAAGTTTGATTATATAGTAAATCATTCATTCCTTTTAATTCCGTGTTTTTCACAGAACAGACACTGTCAGCTTCTTGGTCCTATCTTGTTCAAATTTCCACTAAATTCCCATTTTAACAACTACTTTTCATTGTCTTCCAGAATCATTCTTAAAACCAGCTTCCTACCTTAGCTCCAATTTGGTTTCCACATTGTCCGATCTGGAGATGCACAATTTCACGCATTTTCAGTATGGTTCAGTGACAAGAGTTGATTCCAGTCTTTTTCCTGATGTCCTTAACGGAACACCCAAGCTCTTATGCAATGTCAGCTACAACTACTGCTATTATCTACAAAATGTGGCTTGTGTAGTGAATGCCACTGTCTTAAGAGAGAGAGAGAGAGAGAGAGAGAGAGATCAACAAGGGGGAATTTCTGGCCCCTCCCATTCTGCTGACTAATAATTGCTCTGATAATGGCATTCACAAACAACTTCCAAACAGGGAAACTGTTCTAAGACTTTAAAGCCTCCCTTTAAACACTGAAACTTGTTTTCACCAGGCAGATGGAATTCCATATTCACACCAAGTCTTTGGACAAAGACTGATGCTATTCTATTTTCTTTTGTTTCTAAACAGCAATGTTCACTTTCTAACAGCTGAGTCTGGAGGTGCTTGGTTGCTACAGGAAGACTCGGTACTTACAATCTAGCAAACTCCAAATTACCCAGACAATATTTGCACAGGTGGGATTCCCTCTGTTGATCCCTCAGCTACTGGATAATATACCATGTGGCTCCAGCTTTTATTGATAATGTAAGAGAAGTCCTGCTGAACAGGGCCGGACCCGCCATTAGGCAGAGTAAGGCTGCTGCCTCAGGCAGCAGATGTTAGATGATAATGGCAAAGTTCTGGAATAGAGAGCTGGGGGCTAAGCAGCTTGTGTGTAGCTTCCCCTAACCCTAGACTTCTGCGAAGTGCGCTGGAGGATGCTGTCACGTCACCAGTGTTGAAGAGGGATGCAACTGTTAGTCAAGTTGAGCTGCGTACTTGCAGTAGGAGGCATCATCTTGCTCTTTCCCTCTGGTAGCAGAATATCTTGGTCCAGCCCTGCTGCAAGATCAGACCCAAGCTCCTCCTGGTCCAAACGTCTGTGTCAAAGAGCCACTTGTTAAATGCCTTTGGAATGCTACACGCCAGGCCATCAGAAAGCAAGAAGTGGGATCTGTTAGTCTCACAACATTGAGAGGCAACACTTAGAGGTTGGACCTTAGCTCCTCAGCTGCTTTGGCTAACGATCCTGCTCTCTGGGTGATCTGGAACTTGTGGCCCAAAAAATGCAGTCCAAGGCTTGGAGTACTACAGTTGTTCTGAATGGCAATACCACCATCGTAGTTAAGGATCTCTTGGGTTTTTTCTCCTGCAGGTAGCATGTAATTGCATGATCCAGATCAGGACCACCAAGTGGAGGTTCATGAGAAGGGAATGTCTTCTTAGCCTATGATCTAGAATGTAGAGAAACACTCGTTTCCTTAATTTATTGAGTTTTTTTCATTGGCAAACTGGGAAGGAGAATGAAACATAAATAAATGGGAGTTTAACACACACGAGCACTACAGAAATTAGGCTGGTACCCTTTTCCTGTTTTTGTTTTTGTTTTTGTTGTTCATTATCCCCCAGTAAGCAGCCCTCAAAACTCTTTGCCATTGCTTTTATAGCAACACAGCCCTGAAAATGAAGCATCATGGTTCCAGACATCACAACCCCTGTGGAAGCCACAGCAAACAAGGTCTTCTTCTGATAAGGAAGAAGGCTTTGCTATCTCTGACAGCCACATTGTCTGACAGCATTTTTTTTTGAAAAAGCTGATGCCTGCACCCACCAGCCCTACTATACTACATAATGACATGAGATTTGCCCAGTCTATAGCCTCACTATATGAGGGGAATCGGATATAAGGAAAGTTACCTTTTTCGACTTCAATACATAGAATATCCTAATGAACATGGTTGGTAGCCGTGGTAGGTGAGATATCCTGGAAGTTGCCATGCAAAAAAGTTGCCGCGTGTACCTGGAAGTTGCCATGCAAAAAAGTTGCCGTGTGTATGTCGCCAAGTCAATTCTGACTCACAGCAACTCAGAAGTGGTTTACCATTCCCTTCTTCTGGGGACACCCTGGGACTGTGCAGCTTGCCCAAGGCTACACAGGCTTACTTTACTAGCAAGAAGCTCAGTAAGGAATCAAACTCCCAACCTTTGGCTCTCTGCAACTAGATACCTTAACCACTGATCTATCCAGTCAGCTGTGAAGACCTAGGAATGTGCAAATAAGAACCGATTTTAATAGATACTAGAATTGTAACCAGACAAATGCTTAGATGCATAGATTTGGGAGGGAATTTGGCCATAGGTGGCTGATGGACCAAATGTGTTGGAGTGAAGGCGTGGGAGGTACAGGTTGCTTTGGCCATGAGCTGCTCCTAATTTTGATACTGGTTCAAGGAATCTCTGGGGCATGACAGAAGAAGGAAAAAACAAACAAACAGTGCACCTTGGAAGAGATAAAACTGGGATCTTGTACATCATCTTGTCTGTGCTTGGGCACACTTGAGTGCCACTGCGTGATATAGTCCATCATTCCCACCATTAGATGAGAAGACCCAGGTTCAAATTTTAACTTGGCTGTTCATTCAATGATTTTGAATCTTGCCCACTTCCTCTCAGCTCAAACCGCTTCACAGGTTGTTAAGAGGATGAAACAGGTGGGCAGAAGAACCATGTCCACTGTTCTGGGTTCCTGGGATGCAGTATTATTGGTCCAACTCTCTTTCCCAAGAACTATCTGCAGTTTTGGCCAGCTCACTGGATTTCATGCATTGTTGGATCCTGGATCAAATTACATGGTACATGTTGATCACATTGCTACAGTTAGAACATATTATTGTGCAAATAATACTCTTAAAGTCCATTGTTTCTTGTAGTTTCATCTTAACTATATCTTCCCTCTGCAATTCTACCAATTTCCTCACATTAGCAATATCGCCAGCATTTGGAGGACACTTCAGCTCCTTTTCCTGCCTTCCTTCATGTGGCACAAGTATTTAACTGAAGGGCCAGCCCAAGCCATGCTGCTGCCTGAGGCAAAGAGCAAGACAGCACTTTTCCTGGAATTCCATGTACAGAAGCAGACTTGGACTGGCAGATTAATTGCCTTTCCACACTGAAAGAGGGTAAAATTCTCCTCCACACCTAAGGAAACTAGGTTTGTTTAGGACTTGAAAGAGAATAAATGCTTGAGGAGTGCTTTTACTATTGTTGCTTAGTCGTTTAGTCATGTCTGATTCTTCGTGACCCCATGGACCAGAGCATGCCAGGCCCTCCCGTCTTCCACTGCCTCCCGGAGTTGGGTCAAATTCATGTTGGTAGCTTCAATGACACTGTCCAACCAACTCGTCCTCTGTCATCTCCTTCTCCCCCTGCCTTCATACTTTCCCAACATCATGTTCTTTTCCATCTCTTCTCATGAGATGGCCAAAATATTGGAGCCTCAGCTTGAGGGTCTGTCCTTCCAGTGAGCACTCAGGGTTGATTTCCTTCAGAATGGATAGGTTTGTTCTCCTTGCAGTCCAGGGGACTTTCAAGAGCCTCCTCCAGCACCCCAGCACCACAATTCCAGCACCACAATCCTGCCAGCTAAAGCAGTTGCCTCAGCTTACCTAATGGTAGGGCTAGTCCCATAGGGTTGGAATCTAGAGTGACAGAGCAGGCCTGTGGTGGTGATGATGGTAGGGTTCTGCTATCTGTCCCCAGTTAATGTAATACATTTTCTATGTACTTTCAGCACTGTCTAGAACTTTTTGAACTTCTATCATGTTCCTCACCCGGATGCTTGGGAGTCACTGCCTGGATATCATATTCCTGGTAATAGAAATAAAATTATAGTAAAACCACATCCTTAACCACACAACAGCTGCTTGTAGTATGGAGTACCTTATCAGCTGGCAACAAACATGTGAAGTCTACTGTAATACAGAATATATTAGCTGTATTCAAAAGCTTGGGATATTAACCCTTTCTTCTAAGATCTACATCCATTATTTTTGAGAAATCCTGTCTTCTACTATGTACTGTAGTTCCTCCAGAATCCCAAGGCTACAAGATCTCTCATTTTGCAATTTGTCACAGTGCTGGGTGGGATAAGATGATCCAGCATGAAATAATTATCACAAAAATAAACTTTCGCAGGTGGTATTGCTTGTAAAAGCTTTCCAAAGCATTATTGAGTGGGTAGATTTTGTTGTGACTGTCAATTGAGATGCTAATGGTGCGCGAGAAAAGCATTTGCAAGTGGGGAAAAAAATCAAACATAGGGGAAAAGAAACACTGTTCATGTTATCAACCAATGACTAGCATTTTAGCAGAATGAATAACAAAAAAGCCCGTTGCAAACAATGGCAGCTGTTGGAAATCATGGCAGCCAGGAAAGCTAGTGGATGGAGAAGTATATACATATACTAGAAGAATATGTGAGCTACAAATAGAGCAATGACTGAATTGGGATAAAAAATGGAATGGGTCACAAAGACAGATCACCTTTCAAATGAGTAAGTTTTCAGGCAGCAAGCGCTGGGCTGGCCATTTAAAATCCAAAGGGTGCAGTCACCAACTACAGGCTGTGAATGCTTGGAAGAGAAGAACACAATTGGTGGGAGGAAAGTAATGGGGTTTTCCTTAGCAAACTTTGGCAATGATGAGAGCAGATGGCAGTGTGTGTATCCTAGGATTCCAAAGCATTTGTACAAATGTTGATTTTCATTTTAGCACAGAGGGTGTGAAGCTGGAATCTTCACAGTTGTTGTTGTTGTTGTTTAGTCATTAAGTCATGTCGGACTCTTTGTGACCCCATGGACCAGAGCACACCAGGCCCTCCTGTCTTCCACTGCCTCCCGGATCTTCACAGTACTATGTAACAAATCCATGCAATTTGAAAGCACTAGGCCAAGTGTGTCCCCTATGTACACCCAGGTATTCTAGCTGCCAGCCAGGAGACATCTTAAATAACTAAGACTAGGAGGGCTCCTAAAGGAGATTAACCCCAATCACAGCACAGTAGATTACAGGAGGGTCCCATGAGCCAGAGAATTCACTGTAGGTACGAAGCCCAGATGTACCAGGAAGAGCAATGTGTTGTTTGCAAATACTGTAGCTGGTTCCTGATCTAAACATCAGTGTCACCTTCTATATGTAAGGATCTTCCCTTTCAGAAAACATGCCAGCTCTGATAACACACTCTATGTGTGTGTATGCACGCGCATACATATGCATGTGTAAAAAGACTGCTTGAGCTCCATCCCATCAGAGTTAATTAAAAACTCTGGTGATTGT